ATACAAAGGGGCACGCTCCATGCCTTAACCTCCTGCTAATGAGAGAGGGTCCCCCTAAAGGAAAGATAACCAGAGGAGAAGCTTTGGCATATTTATCTTGGGGTTGCGTGGATGACGGTTTTCTGTGGAAGTGATGGAACACGTTGGGTCTGACTGACTGGTGGTGGGATGTGCTTGAAGGCTCCTCTTCTCTTGAGCTGTGTTAGGGCTGTACAGGAGGCTTTGCGGAGAGACTCGCTGTTGGAACAGGGGAGGCTTTTTAAAGCAATAACCATCTATTTAAATATGGACGTTGAGCCTTGGAGCACAGCTTTGGTCTTTCACACGGTTGGTAAGGTAGTTGTTCTATGGGTGGTTCTTTTTGGGAAAAAAAGAAGATCTCATGCTCAAAAACCACTGCATCGTCTGCTTTGATTGCTTTCGCTTCACTGCTGCTGGCAGCTCACCTGCTGCGAGTAACCACCGAGCGAGTGGCAGCGTGTACAGAAGTACGAGGTTAAGGATAAAATAGGTGCAGAGTCTCCTCAGACAGCAAGGTTCTTGTGTCAGTAACTTGCCATGAGAGGCTGCTGGTACCGAACAATCTGGATGCATTGCCTTTCAGGAGACCGTGCCCACTCCACGGCTGCGTGGATGGCCCCACATGCTTTATTTGCGTCACGGTATTTAAACTTGGCTGTTGGAGGCAGAATTATAAATTTCCTCATTAGTAGGGTTTTTTTATGGCTCACTCTGCTCATAGGAGACAAACATGAGTTATATTTTCCATAACTTTTAAGATCCATAGGAAGAGTATGATCCTGTTTTTGACGAGGAGCTGAAGCTTTTTTTTTGGAGCGTCAGATCATCTCAGTTTTACTATTTATTCTGAAAAATCGCCGCTGCTGGTTTGTTAGGAGTCTTGTACCCTTTGACCGCAGTTTTATCTGAACACCGTGCGGTCCTGTTTGCTGGGTCCTTCATCCAGCAATGGCAAACTTCTGGTTTCTGGTGACAAATTTGTTCTAAAATTATGCTTTTTAACTTGTTGCTGGCTCTAGCGTGCCTTTGCCAAACGTAGCTTCAGTGCTGTGCTGAAGAGGTGGCTTGTATGGAGCTGGCGCTGGGAACGGTGTGGATGCAGGTGGAAGCACTAGGAGATGGGCCACCGAGCGTGGCCAGCACGGCCACGAGTCACCCGAGGCTTCAGTGGGCAGCAGGGTTCAGACTGTGAGGTGGGGTTTTCTCAGTGGATTAGAATGTTGCTGAATTTGAGCAGATTTTTGTATGAGAAGGCACTCGTCTGACAGCAGGGCTGCCTCCGCCGGTGCCAAACCCCTCCTGCAGCAGGTGAGAGGGAAACCTTGTCAAGGAGAACGTTGCCGTGATCCTTGATGTGCCGGGTGGTCTCTTCAGCGTTCTTCTCAGAACGGGCCTTTCTGTCTGAAGCCGTCTGGAGGCAGCCAGGTGTTATAAATAGGAAGTACCTGAAGCACCGTGTCCGTGTGAGGGGTGCCGGGCCACCCCGGGGGTCGCTCCTCCGCGCAGCATGTCGGGAATCCCGACCGTCCTGCCTTCGGCCGGCTGGAGCGTGTCTGAAGGACACTTGGTATCGCTGTTAGGGGGATGTAAGCACCACTTAATGAGCCTGCTCTGTCATAATCGGTGTCAGTAAAACCTCAGACAGAATTCTGGAGTTTGGGGGTTGGGGGTTTGGTTGTCATCGCGGAGGCTTTTGTTTTCTCTGCGCACTTAAGACGCAAATGATTGCTTCCAGCGTTGCTCTTACAAATTGTGAAGCAGTGCTGCGGTATTGTGAACAGACGTGTACAAAAAGTTTGATTTCCACCGTTAAAAACACGCTCGGTGAGTACCGAGTGGAAAGCCGGGGTCGAGGATGGACGTACCGAACGGCACGGCGCAGCCTGCCGTTGCAGTGAGCAGCAGCAGGCAGAAAGTCACCCTGATCGCAGGGTCATGCCTCCGAGTTTATTGGTGGAAGATGCCAGACTGGAACGTCCTTCCCGCTCTCCTTCAAGCCCCTGTCCCCCTTTCCCCCGGGAGAAATTCAATTCTGGGTGCTGACTCAGCTGAGCTGAATTTTCTCCATCAGCGAACACCACGAGGTGCAGGAGCTGCGGCGGCCGGAGGAGGAGCCCCGCGCGGGGCAGAGCAGCCACCCCCACAAGGGCTCCCAACAAAATGTCTTTGAAATCTCTGTCAGAGGTTCGTTGCCATGCTTGGAGGAGCAGGCCAACTGAAAAGTCTCTTAAATAACTCTTGCAGACTAATGAACAAATTTGATTAAGATTTGGCAGCTTTTGCTAATATTCCCTGCAACTAGGAAATCTTCCCAGGCAGCGCTCTGCGCTGTAGAGGAGAGAGCACCCTCATAATTAAACGATGAATGAAAGCAAATGTACTGATGAGCAGGTTGGGTCGTTACTCAAATTGAGGCAGCACAACACAGAGCTCTCCTTCTGTCATCCCCTGGGCTGTGTGCGGGGTTGTGTGCCTCGCTGCGGCAGAGGCTGGGAGAGGTGGAACCCGCGTGATGTCCTGCAGCCCCCGAAGCGGGGAAGCTCCCTGCCCTGCTCTCCTGGGTCGGTCGTTGCTGTTATTTACAGCTAGAAGTTCACTTCACTTCACCCCTGCGTGTGCCGTCCTGCAGCGCCGCTCCATCCGCTTGGGGCTGCTGCGCTTCTGGTTTATGTTTAAAAAAGAAAAAATCCGATTTGTTTTGTAGAGCCTTGCTGTACTCTGGTAATTTTGTGTGTTGGAGTTACTCCCTGCAAATTTCTGGTGTAGCAGCCCGTATTTGATTAAATAACGTGAAATTTGCTTTATCAGTAGTTCAGACACATGGAAGCTGCTGGAGCTTCAGTCCTGAAACTTGGGAAGTTGAGGCCTTTTGAGGAGCCACGTTGGGCTCCCTGAGCAGACGAATTCACGTTGCTGCGTGGATGCTGGGGTCCTGCCGGCCAGCGAGGGGGGTAACGCTGCCGCTGAATCAGCTGAAGTAACAGCGACCGGCAGTAGGTGACAGGTAACTCCCGGCGGATGGGGAGTCACCTCGATGTCGGAGGTATCTGAGACTGGTAGGATTCAAAACAAAGCCGGCCCCAGGCGTGGGGTCGTGGGAGCAGGGCACAGTGAGTGGACAGGAGGCTGTTACACAGACCCGGGAACTGTCGGCAGCAATTGCTCTCTCTGGTGTTGCTGTAGATAAAACTGACAGGTTAAATGAGGGGGAGTAGGAAGGTTTGTTGAAATGCAGTGGAGGAAACTAGTATAGAGGAGCCAATACAGATTAGCTACAAAAAAAAGGGCTTTCTAGGTGAATGTGACTGATTCTTAAGAATTTTGCATTAAAACCAGGGTCCAACCTGTACATTTTGGTGCTTCCCTTTCTTCACAAGTCTTTTTTTGTATGCCTAGCGTGCTAAACCTGGTGCTGCAAAACGTTCAGCATGACTTGGAAGCTAAATGACTAGGAAGAGGCTAATGCAAGGCAAGGGGAAAAAAAGGCTTCTAAACTTGTCCTGCAGTCAGAAAAACAAACAACAACAAAGCCATCCTGCTGCTGAGCATCGCCGGGGCAGGCGGGGGGCACGATTTTACTTTATTTTGCTTGTTTCAACAGTGGCGTTTGTACCAGAATTGAACTGTCTGCTGGGATGCTCCCTTCAGGACTGACAAACAAGAAAATGTGAAATACAAACAGTAATTTTCAAAAGAGGGGGAAAACGACCTTTTTGCTGTTGGAATTGTTAGGCTATTGTCTGGTGGGCCCTTAGCGTGCGCCGCAGCGTCACAATCTGTTGCGTTGTTATAAAAAGAAACATCCAACACAGAGAACGCTTTATTTTAATCCCCGGATGACAAGGGAAGATGCATAAATTTGTGACGGTCGTTTGCACCGTATCCTTCATAAAATGCCGGTGCCCCAGGAACCGCAGCAGAAGACGGCTCATGGCAGTGCGGTTGTGCAGCGCCGCTGCTGAGAATCGGCCTCCGGAAAGCTGCTCGCGGGGAAGCGTCCCGTGGTGCAAGGCAGGATGGCAGTTCTGCTGCGGGGTCTGTGAGGGTGAGGGAGAAAGCTTGGTTGGGCTGCTCCTGAATTCCTGTTCCGTTGGACAGCTCGCTTTGGAGGGCAGCCGTTCCCCTGCCGGGGGCTGGGCAATGCTGTAGAGAGTGGTTTTCACACGGAGACGAGGAAGCGGTGGTGGCTGCTGTGCCGCTGGTAGGAGCAGAGCGCGTGTCCGCGCTGTCCCCGCTCAGCGCGACGGCCTTTGGGGGCGAGGGCAGCGCTGAGCGATCGCCGTGAAAACCGGGCAGCCCTGGTGACCGAACCCAAGCTTCGCACCGTGAGACACCGCGTGCAGCAGCATGGCACGAGGGGTTCCACGCTAACGAGGGTCGGTGGGATCCACGCATGTCAGAACAAGATCTCCGTGTCCCTGCTTTCCCCTGCGACCTCCCCCGTTAGCAGCCTGGCTCCCTTCGGCTGCCGGGACCCCTCCCCGCTCGCTGAGAGCGGCGACGCGTGGACACAGGTAGCAGGAAGGTCCAGAAGCAGCAGCCCTAGCGATAGGGATGGCGTGGCAACAGCGCCCTGCTTCAGGATAAGTCCTAGCGTAAAACCCGGAAGGGGTCAGAACTTCACCATTAACACTCCAACAATTTATTTTAATAACTTGAAAGATGGGAAGGTTTGCTTATTTTAATTAAACCGGAGGTTTCCTTCATCTGCTGCCTGTCTTTTCCCACTGGAATAATATGTGAGATCGAATACTAACGGCATCTGGATGAACCTGTCCTGTTACAAGGAAAATCTTTCTTCCCATAGGTGTTCTGGTTTGGGGGAGATTTTCCAGAAATAGCCAACCTGTAACTGGCTCAGGTCTGTCTCTGGCTTCTGTGATGAATACTAGTAAACTAAAAAAAACCCATCACATTAAAAAAACCCAAAACACCTCAAACTTACAAAGTCTCCCTTCCTTTTTTTTTTTTCTTCCCAGCAAAACCAGAAGAGACCAAACCAGCTGAAGCTGTGACAGGGAACGATATCACGGCACCTCCCAACAAAGAGCTGCCTCCCAGCCCTGAGAAGAAGACAAAGGTAGGTGTCGTTTCACCTTCGGCCCCTTCGCTTCCGTGGTTTTTCTTTGCCGGCTTTTCTGCTTCTTAAGCTGTGGCAACACACGTTCTGTTTTCTGAGCTGCCGTGTGTGAAGCGCTGTACTGGCACAAAGACATCCAGTCACGAAGCTGCCAACGACTCGGCCTGTAGCAAATGTGACCGCGAGTGGATTTAATAAATGTGCGGTAAGCTTTGTTTAAATTAATGCTCTGGTTGGTATCGGTGGTGTAGAAGCAGTAAACGTGTATGATAACGCTGCTGCTACGCTGGTACCCTCCTTGTTGCTTACAGCACATTTATTTGCATCATAATTAGCATTCAGAGATCCTGCTCAGGATCTGATACTCTCTTCTTTTAGGGCTGTTTACAAAACACGAGACACCTGCTTTCAGAAGCTCGCAGCATTCGGCAAAATCTAACCCCAAATTCCTAGAGCAGTGGTAGGGGCAGGGATTCTTCACCCCCTCCAGGGCAGTGGACGTATGACCACTGGAGCTGATCGGATGAGGATTTAGAGCTTGCAATCCGTTGTGTGCATGTAATTGGAAAGCAATGTCCTGTGTATTGCACGTAGGACGAGATGCCAGGAACACCCAATTACTAATCCCAGCTTTACCAGCGATTCCTTCTGTTGCTTTAGATGTTGCTGGAAAAAATCCTCTTGGATTTGAATTGGATGGCAAAGCTCCGCTGGGCTTCGAAGGCAGCCCGCTTCTGCTGCCTCAGTTCGGTCTTGTTCCGCTCAGAAAACAGAAAGCTGACTTTTTTTTTGTGTTTCATTTAAAATACCACTTTTATGTTCTTGCAGCTCAATGTTTTGGTTTACAATGCGCTACTTTTTGTTGTATTTTTTTTTTGTTTTTATACTGGATTTTGCTTTTTGAAAAAACATAAAGCCTGCCGCATCCACATCCTCTGCAAAGCCTGCAGCAACGAAAGCCAGGCCCCTGTCCGCTACCAGCCCCAAGCGGCCAGCCTCTGCCACGCCTGGCCCAAACAAAAAACCCACGAGCCCTACTGCAGGTCCTACTCCAGCCACTACTACTAAACGCCCAGCCACCAGTACTACACGTCCCTCCACCTTAACTCCAAAAGAGACTAAACCAAAGGTAAGAAACGGTTGCTTTTGTGCGGGAGCTCCAAGAACTTATTTACACGTTAACTTACCGGCTGCCAAAACGTAATTCTAGTGCTAATCACGGGAGGATGAGATCAGGAATGTGATTCTCTGCGTTACCAGCGCTGCACAGTTACCAGTATCGGCTTCCATTAACCCACCTATGGCAGCAGGTCGCAAGCTTTTGGTTGTGTCGCTGCAGAGGAGAAAACTAAACTTGACTGTAGTCTGCGATTTTCCTAAAGAACTGTTGTGAAGTACCCAAGATAATTCTTTATTTCTTTCCGTGACTAAAGGAGGAGGGTTTTTAAATATAGATACGCTACGAACATAGGGTAACTCTTAATCCAGACAAGAGCATGGGAAAACTGAGTGGGGAGCTTCCGTATTAGGTCTGAGAGGGGAAAAGAATCAGTTTGAAGATTTCAGTATTTCCCGCTGATTGTGTCTGGCCAGTATAAAAGCTGTACACAGCTAGCTCATCATGCCCTTGGGTGCTTAGGCAATACTGGGGGTTTGTAATTCTCCAGTAAGAGGAGGTTTGTGGACCGTTCTTCGTGCTGCACCATAAAGCTGAAGTAGGGTGTCCGCATGTAACGTTAAGAACGGGAAACGTCCCTTGAATCTTCCTGACGCTGACTTGCGGTGCTCTACAGTAGAAAAATTCAAATTTGAAAGGGAATGTTAAAATCTATTTCAGAAGCTTTCAGCTGATGCTTAAACACTAGCATTTCTACTGGGCATTTCAGTTTAAATAACTGCATTTGAGTGTCTTTTAAAACGAACTAAATAAGAACAACAAGAGTGTGAAAGCACAGGTGTAAACCTGTACTTCTTCTGTGAACCAGTCTTCAGGGGTTTTGTTAAGTTTTTGCATGGTTCTGAGTCCCTTTCTGCTGAAATCAAAACCTCATCTCCCGTGTTTCAATGCACTAACTCAGTACGTTAATACTGAAGAGATGGGGCAGTTTACAAACAAGCGGCTTTCCGGGGGCAGCCACGCAGTAGTTTCCCAGGCGAGGAACGAAGCACAGACACCTCAGTGTTTAAGTAAATGCCTTCGTAGCTTAGGAAGCATTTCTGCCCGTGGAGGGAAGAAATCTCTCCCAGCTGTATTGCTATGGACTGATGTATTCCATTTCGTTCAGAAGTCAAAACCTCCTTCACGTCTGGAAATGGCCTCCCCACACTAACGCTGAGCCAGGCCTGGATGAATCCTGATCCTCAGCAGGGGCTGTGCTCTGGATATAGCCGGTCACTCCTGCACGCCTTAGTTGTACCTTTCATCTTCTGCATTACCCTGGTTCAGCGGTGCCCAGCTTACGTGTTTTAAGAATTTAAACCATTTCAGTTGACTTCAGGCTTTTTGTTGGCCAACACTTGGAAGAGGCTGTCGGTGAAACGCTGGCTTTAACGTGGCCTGTTCGTTTTCAGGTCGCAGATGGGAAGACCACAGATAAGCGGACCTCACTTTCAAAGCCTCCATCATCATCTGCCACTCCCAAATCCACTGCCAGGAGCACCCCTGCTACTCCTAAGACAACGGCGGCATCGCCAGTCACTGCAGCTGCTGCTGCGAAAAATACTGCTACTTCTCCCCCGAAGAGGCCAACATGTAAGTGTTCCCTTGGTTTGCTTCAGGAGGGCTCTCTTTCTCACCAGCTGCAAGTTTCTCTTCGGTTAGCACGGCTGGGTCACGCTGTGGTGTGTGTCTCGCCTGTTCCAGGATGCTGACTGCTTTTTCCTGTGTTTAAGTCATCCTGTCAGTTTATTAAAGTGACTCTCCTGGTAAACAGGCTTGTGATCTCCAGGTTCAAACGGAGGAAAAAAACCCAGAACCTTCCAATGCAGCTGCTTGTGAGAAGGCCCAGCTGCCGTTAACCAGCACTTCTGAGAGGTGTGAGCTGCCCTACCTGTCGGGCAGGAGCCAGCTTGAAGCTTAGTGGTAGCTGAAACCCTTTTACTGCAGCACGAGATCCCGTGCCAAGGCACACAGACCGTAGGCCAGGCTGCTTTCTCTCCAGGGCTTCCTGTTCCAAACCAAACCTGAATGAGCTTCAGGGCCAGCTTGGATCCGCTCTGTGTGGTTCAGGGTTAACCCAATTACTGGACATGCTTGCTTTCAGAAACAGGATGCTGTTACCTCTGTCTTTTGCCATAGTAACAGTTAGAATAAACACTAAAACCAATTTGAAACTTGGGAAAAGCAAATCTTCAGAGGAGGACTTAAACTAGTGCATCTGAAAAGCAAAAAGAGGTTGAAGAGAAGTGCAGGTTTTTTACTAGGGCAGGAAGAATTTGGAGCTGAAATCACATCAGCTTCATCACAAAACTATCGCATCCTACTGTGGCCAAAGAGGAGACTTCCCCTGAGCTTAACCCAGTCAGCATGAACCACGAGCAGCATATGAGCATCTCGAAGACACTGCTTTCACTCATTTTAATGGCGCTTGAGAGATTTAACGTCAGATGAAAATACAGTTAAATGTTCTCAAGTCTTTTCAAATGACTAGACCTCATGGGGAAAATCTGCCCATAAACACGTAAAACTAATAATACGTGTTGGCTGCGTTGTTCTATGAGTCCCGAAGTGTGAATTGATAACCCGTCTTTCCCAAAAGAACAGTCATGTTTTAACTATGGTGAAATAGAGCAGGCTAGAGGTGCATGCCACGCTCCGTGCCCTAGGGGAACATATAATGAAGCGAGTGTAGGGGAGGTGTTGCACTTTCCGAGAGCCGTGTGTCTTAACTGATCCTGCGGACATCCTTGTAGAATTCGATTTGTGTGGTCTTTTATGCAAACCGTAGCCCAGAATGCTTAATATGTTTTAATGAGTTCAGTTAATTTCTCCTTCCAAAACTGAGAGACAAACAAAGAAGTGTTTTCTGATGACATTTGAAAAGAGATGGAGTCAGCGATGCAGAGATGCAGGAAGGTTGTTCCAAGTGGCAAGATGTACAGAGGAAGAGGCTTCTGCACCAGCGAGGGTGGTGGGACATTGCCAAAGTACAGTGAGAACTGGGTGGGCGAGGGAGAGATGAGGTCAGCTGGAGAAACTCCATCAGGAGTTGGAGCTGTTTTGTCTGGATCTGGAAGTGCCCAGAGGAGTCGTGCATGGTAAAGGAGGGAGTCCTGCTTGGGAAGAGGAGCAAGCAAGGGTGTGACAGAGCGCGAACAGCGTTGTGGGGCCTGGAGGGCGGTTGCAGCGAGCGAACGCCGGCAGTTTGGTTTCGGTTGGGCACGTGCAACTTCAGCGAGATCCGCGGGTGCAGGTGGTGGAGACCCGGATCTCTTCTGGTCGCGGTTTAGTTACAGAGCGCTGAGGCAGATAAGAAGTTTCTGGCTAAAGAGGAGCTTTCGGGAGGACATCTGCTCTTGCTTTTCAGGTTCAAAAGACAGAGACTGTCACTTGGAACCCTACAGTGGTTTGGGCTGGAAGGGATCTTAAAGATCATCTGGTTCCACCCCCCTGCCCTGGGCAGGGACACCTCCCACCAGACCAGGTCGCTCCCAGCCCCATCCAGCCTGGCCTTGAGCGCTGCCAGGGAGGGGGCAGCCACGGCTGCTCTGGGCAACCTGGGCCAGCACCTCACCGCCCTCACGGGGAAGAAACCTTGTGGTTTGCTCAAGTGTGTAGTCATCCTCACTGTTTAAAAATGTGGGTATAGCAGCTTGTTTGGAAATTATGTGGTTTCACTTTTTCGGGCATTAAATGTCAGTCACTTCCTCTATGAAATGAGAGCCACGGGTTATGTGGTGCTTGACTATTATCTTCTTTAGTTTGTTTTTTTAAATTTTTTTTCCCCTCCCTATGAAAATGGCTTTTGTGTTTGTACAAGAGCACACCTCTGTCTTTCTGATCAGAAAAAGATCAAAGTCCTTGGCTGTCATTATAGACCATTTTCCCAGCTTTATCATTCTCTGGCTTTTCAATATCACATGCTAATAACACAGACAGAAGTGTTCCAGCGTTTGGCTGCCCACTGACACGAGTAGAAATAACATCTCTTTATAGATTAAAGTAACATATTGGTCCTCTTGCCTTTATATAAAACCAAGTCTGGTCTGTCCATACAGTTTCCCCATTAAAGTTGTGGTCTCAAGGCATGAGATGAGGTTGCTTTGGTGGGACCATTTTTGAAGGGTTTGGTGTTAATTATATATCTGTCCCTTAGGCCTTATTAAATTACCCGAATGTGTTTCATCTCATTAGCTCGTATCTTCTCTGTGGTGTTTAATTGAATGCTTTTAGCAAAGTCAGGATGGAATGATCCAGACTAACTTGGCCTGTGGTTATCTGCCTCTTTCACGTGCTCTTTTCTGTATTGGTATTCCATAAAATGCCCTGCCAGCTGCTTGAGTTCATCTCAAAATCTAAGTCTGTTAGTGGAAATTAAATATTAGAAGATGGAGGTTTTCATCGTTCCTAACTTAGGCTGGGTTTTTTTTTTCCGTATAGTGTTTGGTTTTAATGTGTGGTGTTCTTCTGCTTTGAGAAATACCGATGCATTCCTGGTTTAGGCCGTCCTCTGTCTGTGTGGAATGTAATCAGGTCATGAGCACTGGTGGTTGCCCAAAGGCGCAGTTCAGTTTAGTGATTGATTTTTGGTTTTGTACAATTACAGTAGGGACCAAAATACGTGCAATAGTGTCTGTGCAAGAAAATTGGCATGGGTTGAACTGATCTAGCCATACAACCAAGGTTATAGATGGACAAATGTGGGTTTGCTTTTGCTATTTGGTTTTCTTAAGAATTGAAATTGGGTCAGGATTAAAATAATCTTTGTGAGCGCGGGCAGATTCAGCAAGTTATTTTAAGAACAAACAAAATGCGAACTGTACCCCAGGTGTGCTGCATCGTTGAACGATGGTCCTTTAGATTAATCGATCCTTGTGCTGGAAAACCTGTGGGGGTTTAGCTGGGAGGAGGAGGAGGAGGAGGAGGAGGATGTCAGCCAGGTGTCCAGAGCTGCTCGTTCTTGAGATGCTGTCTTTCAAGCAGCCTGTTAGAAATGGACACTGTGGGTGAAGAGGCCCGTCGGTATGTGAGGAGCTGCGGAGAGCCCCTGGCCTCCAGGGGAAGCTGGGCCGGGATCCCGGGCTTCTTGCCCGTGCAAACTGGCTCCCGCTCCGAGATACTAACGGTGTGCTTTGTGTTGGGCAGCTATCAAGACTGATGCAAAGCCTGCAGATGCCAAGAAGACCTCTGCGAAGTCACCCTCAGGTAACTTTGTTCAGTTCCCATCTGAATCGAATCCTTGTTCAGGGCTGTGTTCGTTAAGCAGGCCGCTGTGCATCTTCAGGACTCTGAGGAGTTCTGTGTAGATGGCCTCTGACCCGCCTTTTTCCCGCTTCCCTCCACCTCTTGCCGTGATAATTGCAGCAGACTTGAGCCGCCCGAAGAGCGCTACTGGAAATGCAGTAAAAAGTAGTGCCACCACTCCTTCTACCACCGCCTCCAGCGCACCTACCTTACCTGGAGTAGCCACCAGTCGTCCCAAAACCAAGCCTGCCGCAACCAAACCCACCACAACCTCAGCCCCGACAGCAGATGCTAAAAAACCAACTGCGAAGGCTCCGACTAAAGCCAGCACTGTTTCCAAGCCACCTCGCCCGACCAGCAGCGTTTCTGCTCCAGATCTGAAAAATGTACGTTCCAAAATCGGATCAACAGATAACATTAAGCATCAGCCTGGTGGAGGAAAGGTGAGTCTCCTCAAACTTGGTAACAATATGCGCTTTGGAACAGTAGCTCTTAAGCGTTAGGGGTGCTCTTTGCTAATTTTGGTGGCTGTGTCCTCACTGCTCTTCTCATTTATGCTCTGCAGAGCTCCTCTTTGGGTTCTTGGTTTATGCACAAGGCATTAACGAGGCAGTGGTAGCAGCGTACAGAAGGAATCCACCCTAAGAGCCCTCGTGGTGTTTACTGGCGTACGTACAGGGAGGCAAAACTCCGGGTCTGTTTTTCTGTCGTACGCCCTGACAGAGAAACGAGTTGGCATTGAAAGCTCAAAGCCTTGTCTATATTCCAAAACTTTGCCTTTGCATAGAGGAATTGAGTCTGCTGAATGGTGCAGAAGGTGGAATAACGCACTACGATGCAGGAAATCTGGATTCAGGAGCAAGGTCCACAGCACCTTTCCCAGGTCTAGGAACGGGGACTTTGTTGAGCTTGTCAGGCCGAAAGCCGGGATGAAACGGGGCAACACATGCTGTGCTTTGGCTGCCCCTGGTGCCACAAGAAGAGGAGAGGGTAGTGCTGAATGCGCTGTAGGG